CTCCTCGACAATACTCATGAGCGGCCTGGGGGAAATGGGTGGTTTTCTTAAACTCCTCCACGTTAAGGACCAGAGTCAGAACGTCGCTAAGAGGGGATCCTCCCTCAGGACGCGGGGTAGGATCTGCGGCACAAACAAAGGAAATCCCATGCTTCTCAGTCAGGGCCACCTTGGAAAGTAGGTTTTGCTTCTCCTGTTGGCTCTGAGTCTGAACGGCCTGGAGCTCCTGCTTGACCTGAGCCAAGGCATCCTGGACCTTCTCCATCTTCGCCTGGGCAGCCTCCCGCAGCAGCACAGCTTCCTGCTCCTTCTTCAAAGCCGCATCGGCTTTCTTTTTAAGCCCGGCAAGATCCTTCTCCCGAGCGGCCCTTGCCTGCAACAAGTTTAGCCCAGCCTACAAGGAAGAAAAGTGGTTTAGGAGGGGACGGAAGGCGGACCAAGCGATGGAAGGAAAATGTGAGGAACGTACCTCAAGGTTCAGGAGTAGGGCATGATCAACGGAGTTGCTAGGGGAACGATCCGACAACTCCAGCCCGGCTTGAAGGGCCATGTCCTTCCAGATTTCAGAAATCGGACGGACGGCAGAGGGCACCACGACGTTTGTAGGTTTGGGACCAGAGGGCTCAACACGCGGCCTCTTCGGCTTTTTACCCTTGTCCTTTTCCCCACCGGCGGGGATACCAATGTCGAGCGGATCCACATTCAGGACCCGGTTATCTTGAGAACGTTGGGCCTCAGGATTCTGCCCAGTCACCTCAGCAACCAGAAGCTGCTCCGCGTCAGCAACACGCTTACTCTCTTGAGACACGGCGGAAGAATTGGCCTCAGAAGACTGAGTGGCCCCACGAGCGTTCACCAGCACCGCTCGTTCCTTGTTGGCCTTGGCCTCACGACGGGCTACCATAGCGACACGATCCATTTGTTCTTGAGTAGGAGGAAGACCTGAAACAAAGAAATAACATTAGTACCGGGCGGTGCGAATCACAAAGGCACTCACCTCAGAGAATGGACCGCCCGGGCCCACAAGATGGACGCGAGAGAATGCCAGTCCAGGGATCACGGGCGGTACCTATCCCTGCACCGGAGAGTGCCTGGATGGTCAGGAGGTCCTTCAGCTTTTTAACACCGCCCAGCTTTAGCTTATCCACGGCATCTTGCAACTCCTGGGTTAGCTTCGGCGTCTTAACCTACGGAGGATACCCGTTCCATCTCGCAGGAAGCCGCTCGTCCGCGTAATGAATGAAGAAAAAACGATTCTTCCAATCATGAATGGAAGTGGGAGCCCCCTCGAACAACTTCTTTTTGGGACGAGCGGCCACGCACAGAAACCCGTCGGCGTTTTGAGGGGTGACTTGGAAGAAATAATAGAAAAGCTCCAGATTAGGGGTGAGCCCTTGCGATTTACAACGAACGAGGAATGCGGAGATCAGACGGTAGGAGTTTGGCATGAATTGGGCCAGAACAACACTATAAAATTTGAAAAAGTCAAGATAGAACAGGTGGAGCGGGAAGCGCAGTCCGGCTTTTATGGAATCCATGTGCACCATCACCATTCTCGGACGTCTCTTGAAGAGGTTGTCCGCACCCCGGAGGCTGTAGTAAACAAGTGGAGGGAGAATAGTCTGCAGTTCCCTCAGGGCCCTCCTTGTAACACCGTCCCCAAATGTATTTATCTTTAAGCTAATAATTTATTGAACCCTATGAAATATTCAGTGAATTTACGAAGTTGTGAATTTGTATTAAATTTTTTGCGTGAATAGTAAAATGCACGTGGGGCCCACATCGGGAGTGGGGACCGCCCGATATTTTCGGGGCCACATATTATATTGATCTTGGACTAGATAATATGTACATGGTGGTGGATACCCTATTTGAGCCATGACAATGGCATAGGGTTGACCGGTTGGTCAAACGGGGCCAAATTATCAGTATCGGCAATCTATCAGATAACAGCCCGAAAAGGGATTTCGGAGACTTCTAAATTAAATTTGAGGGATGCATATTGATTCTAAGGCCCATTAAGAATGGGGAACAAGTGTTATATTTTATTTGACCCGATAAAATAAAATATACTTAAAACAGTCCGAAAAAATACAACTTTCGGGGCAAATTGCACACTTTGGGACAAATTGGGATGACCTCCCACATGGGTGGGGGCCACCCCACGAAATTGTCAACCCTTGAGGTCTGGATGAGTGCCAAATTGGATGAACAACAATTGAGAGGATGGGGGAGACACCTTTGACATGTAGTAGGCCCCTCCTTTCACTCATTTGTCTAAATGAGACAAGAACGAACCACCCCTACCTCCTTACACTCATCATTTCGACCCAAATACACCAAGAAGGAGAGAAGAGCTCTGCAAACTCCATCTCCATAGCCCAAATCCGAACTCAAGCTAAAGGGAGTCCAAGAAGAAAGTTTAAGAAGGAAAAAGCTAGGAAAAAGTGTGAAAATTAAGGTAATGACCTTATCATAACTTTTCCTTTGTTTTTTCTTCTAGAATATAAGGTATATATCATATGAAAGACCTTTAGTATTGTTCTACATGATTTAAGTGTGGAATAATGGGTTGGAAAGTGATTCTAAGTCCAAAAACGGACTTAGAAGCCAAATCGACCGGGTTGCCGGAAAATAACCTTTTATAGGTTATTTGTGTTGATATGGGTTTTGTGATGATAAAACCTTGTTAGGAACTTGATTTAAAGTATTTTTGAGCTTCGCCGGAGTTTCGTCGGAGTTGGTCAAAGTTCGCCGGAGTTGATCAAAGTTCGCCGGAGTTGGTCAAAGTCCAATCGAGAAACGTAGAACGCGCTTAAGCTTAATTAAGGTGAGGATGACCGACTATGATACTTATAATCTTTGGGTTAATTTCATGGGATTTCCTAAGTGAATATAAATGTGATGTGCATGAATTGTTGATGGTTAATAATGCATAAATAGAACTACTATTGGTTAAAAGTATAGTATGCATGATACACAAATTTATGAATAAATTGTGTATGTTTAGATGTTATGAATATGTGTGTATGATGGTTGTACCAACCATGAATATCATTTGGGATAGTATACTTTGATGCCATGAGGAGAAGCCATGAAGGTATGAAAGTGATACTTGATATTAAGGCCAATTATGCAAGAAGAAGGAATTATATTGAAATAAATAAATAACTAGCATTGAAATATTAGTTGGAAATGTTAGTTGAGAAATGGATGAATTAGATCCTAAGAATTTGAATTTATAAGGAATCGGTGATTATGAGCCGGGCTCAAGACCGATGTAGATGACGGTGATTATGAGCTGGGCTCTAGACCGTAGTAGATGACGGTGATTATGAGGTGGGCTCTAGACCGTAGTAGATGACGGTGATTATGAGCTGGGCTCTAGACCGTAGTAGATGACGGTGATTATGAGCTGGGCTCTAGACCGTAGTAGATGACGGTGATTATGAGCTGGGCTCTAGACCGTAGTAGACAACGGTGATTATGAGCTGGGCTCTAGACCGTGATAAATAATGATGAATTAATATTAAATGAACGGATTAACTATAATGTAATAATGCCCTAGTTGAGGGCCTCAGAAGAATAGGAGGCACAGCTGGCACCAATTGGGACCTCCGTCGGCCAGATGGCCCTCCATCGACCAGAAAGACATCGACTCAGAATATGATCCAGAAGACAGGAGAACTGGGTGTCTCCTTCGGCCAGACCCTCGTCGGCCACAAAGAGCTCACAGAACCGGACTTCACACTTAATCATTTCTACATACTTTGTACTTGGCCCAGTAGTGGCCCAATTGTAAATGGGCCTCCCAAGCCCAAGACTTGGGAGCCCAGCCAACATTTCCTCTATAAATACTTCCCTTGGGAGTAGTTGTAGGGAGTTCACAAATCATTTATTGCAAGTATTTATTGCACTTCTCTCTCTAGCTCTCACTTCTCTCTAGAATATATACTCTATCAGTTATTATTATAGTTACAATTCTAATTATATTTATACGTAGTAAATAACGACGACGACAACAACAACAACAATTATAATACTTTATTCGTCCTTTAAAACTTTGTCATGTTTGACCGGCAATAAAAATAATAAAGTAAAAAATGTGCAGTTGAAGTTTGTGCAGGAGGGACAGAAGCAACATGAATCCTAAAATAATTCATTAAAGGGAAAGTGACAAAGTTTTTTAGAACGTCACAAAAAAGAAAGATGAACAAAATTTTGAGGGGTAATTTGAGTTTGCACCCCATTTTATTGTACAAATTGGACTTTGCACCCCGTTTTTAAAAATTTTTGTTTTTGCACCCCAACTCCATATGAAAAGACAAAAATGCCCCTCCATTAACAATTTGGTTGGCCTTCAACATATTCTTGGTTGAGGGCATTTTTTTCTTTTCATATGAGGTTGGAGTGCAAAAACAAAGATTTTTGAAAATGAAGTGCAAAGTTCAATTTGGACAATAAAATGGGATGCAAAGTCAAATTACCCCAAATTTTAAAGGATGGAGGAAGCTAGTTTCTTTGCTCATATATGCAATGTCCAGAGGGACACGGTGAGTATTAATTTCTAGAAATAGAAATGAGACATCATTTTGAAAAAATCATACTACCTCCGTCCTGTTATGATTGTCCCGTTTTACTTTATCGGTCCATTCCACTAAGATTGTCACATACCAAATTTGTCAAAGTTTGTGATGCTCTAAATCATTTTTAATTGATTTGCGTATCACTCCTTTTTCTCTTGACCTGTCAGCACTACTACCTAAAAACTACTACCTCCGTAACCCTAGAATCTACCCAGTTTGACTATTTTGGGTCAAACTTTATTAACTTTGACCATTAATTATTCAAAACTCACATTATCTTATGATTAAAAATTTATTTCATATACCTCAATGTAAAATATATTATTTGAATGTTAATTTATTATGAATTTTATAAATATAGATATGTAGATATTTAGAGTCAAAGTTCAACTTAGAAGACGTGAAAAGTGAAAATGAGAAGATCTGTGAGTTAGGATCGGGAACGTGTCATTCCCGCAAGGTTGATACGCACGCGGTGTGCGCTTTACTTTTCCTGCGAATGCCCTCCCAAACTATTCTTAGCTTCCACCAAAATCAACTTCACTCGATATTACAAAAGCTTTCCCGACGCCTCGATCCTGGTTTCTTGTTTTTCCGGCCACGCTGCTGGCAGAATGACAGATTTTTGGGCATGGCTGCTCTTCTTCTTCATGCTCGTTTCTATTGTTGTCATGGTCATTTACCAGGTGAATTCGACTAAACCCTAATCATTTCCCCACCTTGTGTATTTCTCTATATTGCCCGCTTTCCTGCTTTTATAGCAGTCTTTTGCCGTCAAGCGGTGGTACTGTTCTGTAAACGCGTAGTTCATTCGAGTACAGAGACTATTGATCAATAAACACATTAGTCTGTGTGTTGGGTAGGTTATTAATTTATCCATAATCAAGAACCGCAGACCTAAATCACAATAATCAATTTTTTCATCAAACAGGTACGCAGTGCATAGTTTAATTCTAAATCTTTGCCAACAAAACAGAAGCTACTGCCAAGCTGCATTTGTATTCTGTATTTGAATATCTACATCCTCAAAGAACCTTTCTTTTGAGCTTTATATTTCTGATAATTTTCTCATTATTCCATCCCTCCCAAAAATAGTCCTATTCTTTGTCCCAAAAAGAGCCATATATCTTCAAACCAAAGTACATTGTCATGTCATTTTCCAAGACGAATAGGTGAACAACAAGTTAAATAGGATAAGTTTAGTTGATCCAAGAAATGGAGTTTAGAAATATAAATAAATTTTATGACATTTAACCATTATACCTTGCCAAAATAAAAAAGTTGCAAGTAGCTCTTCTTTTCATAGTAATAGGGAGACTTTCTTTTGCTAGATGTTTTATGCTTATATGCAATCTAACACCATATTAACTTTTCAGCTTATGTGCCTGGCCGATCTAGAATTTGACTATATCAATCCTTTTGACTCTGCCTCTAGGATAAACAAAGTTATCCTCCCAGAGTTCATCACACATGGAATTTTATGTTTCCTTTATCTTGTAACCGGCCACTGGATTGCCGCACTTCTCTGCGTTCCATATTTATACTACAACGTGACGCTGTAAGTTTTAATAAAACTCATTACGTGTTCAGGAGCAATTCCTTTTTCTTAGTAGCATCTTATATAGTTATGTTCTACATGAAGATGTGACCGCCTGGCCAGTAACATCCTTTTTTATGACGAGGACTTTATCCCGTGGAGCTTTAGGGGGTGTTTGGAACTGATTCTGCTTCTACTTCTTTTTTAAAGAAGAAACAGAATTAAAATCAGTTTTCAGAAGCTAGTCTCCCCCAGTTTCTAAAAAAACTGCTTCTAGGAGTAAATTAAAGAACCAAAAGTGCTTCTGCACTTTCACCCAAACACTCGAACTTCTGCTTCTACTTCGAAGGAGCAGAAACAGTTTTAAGAATCAGATCCAAACACCCCCTAATGTACAAAGAAATAGATGCTCTTTATTTCAAAGATTTTGTTCTTCCCTCAGCTTTTAGAGAAAGTGTTAAAATGTTAGATTTCCTGGCTGTGGATGCCTCAAATTCATCAAAAGCTGAACCAATCTACATTGTCAAATCGATTGTATACCTAACTAAATAAGCAGTTTTGAGATAAAAGCTTATAAAGCTGAATTTTCCAAAAGAAGTAGCATTTGAGAACATCCATTTTATTAGCCAAAAAGATTCAAAAACTACTCTTTCTGCATGAGCAGAATGAGCCAAATAAGGAGCCACTGAACAAAGCCTCAACTACCTGCTTTTGTAGTTTCCAGTGTTAAAAGATTTGCAGTTACCTTGAAGTCTTTATCTTCTTCTGTTAACGGGCGGTGAAGCATTTAATGCGAAACAAAATTGCTCGAGATTTTCTGTTACCTTGAAGTCTTACCTTCTATTGTCTTGATAGGTACCTAGGAAGACAACATTTGATAGATGTAACAGAGATTTTCAACAAACTAAATTGTGAGAAGAAACGGAGGCTTTGGAAGCTTGCTTATCTTGTTATCATGCTCTTCATATCCTTATTCATGTGAGTGAGACAACTTATACTATTGAATCAATAAGATATTTTAAAAATGGTGTCTTAACTATTCTAAATCTTTTAGCTTTCTATTCAAAATATTTCACTATCGGTTCCACCACTATTAGGCCATTTTCACTATTGATCACCGACTTTCATTTTCTTGCACTTAGGTTCATGTTTTCAGTCTTATTGATCTCTTATCTTCCAAAAAGTCAATCGGAAATTGTTTGAAGAATTGGCGTGTAAGTGATTCGAAGGACCAGACCGGACCAAAAAATCCATAGTCGTGCACTAGAAGTGGAAAATTTTAAAGTCAGGCTAATATTAAAAATGACCTAACTGTCCTTGGATGAAAAGTATAATATTTTCTTCTCTATCATGACATCCAGCTTTTTCCATCATTTGCAATGGAGCCAAAGATTCATTATTTTTTGCCTTGAGATTATGATGGAATAAAGCAAAATGACTCACTAAACTGTCTGCGCTTCTTTGTTATGGAGCAGCAGTCAGTCCATGCAATTTTGGATGCGATTTTCACTATGGGTCATCCGGAAACAGTCTCTGTGTACTTTAATATAGGGGTAATACTGCGTACATCTGACCCCCCCCCTTACCCCACCGTAGGTGGGAGCCTTTGCGGCATGGATTAAATGAAAATGAAATGATCATGACATCCAGCTATTAAAATGGATACACATTAAGTACAATGTGCGCTGCAACACCACATAAGATAAATAAATAAGTCCAGACACAATTGTCTATCTTTGCTTTTCTTTCAATCAATAATTTTATGAAACTTGGCTTCTATAGTAACATTCTCTATTTCTTTGCGTTAGGGTAATATACAACGCTTTAGAAGATGATGAAGACTAGCTGTAGTCTGTAGAGTTTTATTGTCTCAGTGCAGACAAGTAGACAACATATCAAGACTGTTGTTTTGACTGTAAGAGCTCATGGGTTCATCCATTATTTTATTGAACCTATTCATTCCATCATTGTAACAGGAAGTTATTGTAAGAGTACGTGTTTGGCTAATCCATTTTAGCTTGTCTTTGATTTACTTTTTCTACTTGCTCTCTTGTATATTTCTTGCTAGTTGTCAAGGATTGTTGAGTAATTCCCCCTCATAGATTTACTTTTGTTATTTCTTATATTTTAGCTGAACTATTTTAAAACAGCTCAAACCTTCAAAGATAGTTTGCCTCAGATTTAACAAAATAATCACAGTGAAAATAATCAAAGCTCATGATTAAAAGTGATAATACACGGAGTTTATGATTTTACTTTTTGGAGTCATTTCAATTGTAATTCACTTCATTTAACTAATAAACTGAAATGTATATGTCAGTTAAAGTACATTTTGGTTCAAATATGTAAAGTGCCTTTACATATTTGACACCATCTAGCAATATAAATATTTTGACTCATGTGACTAAATAATATCATTGGCCATCACACAGCTATCACAGTATCACAACACTCTCCTCTATCCTGGTTTGAGGAAAATATGATATCAAAAAATAGTCTCGTGGTGGCGTTCAGAACACAAATGGTGCATATCAAATTGAATATATACATACAGAGTATATATATTAAATTAACATGTTTAATTGATGAAGGGTATTCTTGTACTTCAACATAATACTTCCTTTGTTCTTTTTTAGTTGCAACACTTTCATTTTCATGTTTAACAATGCACAACTTTGACCATTAATATATTTAATTTCCTAATTGTAAAATTTTAAATAAAATCACATTTTGAAATTTTCAGATGAGAAAAATTTAATTAAATATTTTAGACATCATATATAAAATTTAGTAAAAGTGGAGCACACCAATAGTGTACAAAATTCTAGTGTTACAACTATTGAAAATCACATGTAAAATTAAATTTAAAATCATTTTTTACCTAACACTTCAACTTCAACTTTAATTTTTCAATTAATTACTTCTATAGTTCTATAGTTCTATTCCAATACACTATCAACTTTTATTATTAAACACTTTTATATAGAGTCACTTTAAAAACATTTTTAGAAAGAAACAAGCGCAAACACTTCCAAAGTGCAGCACAACACAATAAAAATGAGATTTTTCACGTTTTACATGTTAGACATCTTCTTATTTGAAATGAACTCTATATGTACAAAAATGTATATAAACATGGTATATGAAGTTTTAAGAGATAATAGCCCTACATAGGACTAAACTAATCCCTAAATGGAGAAATATGAATGTGTTATTTTTCTTTCCAAAATAAGACTAAAGTATACCCTATCTTTCTATTCTATCCTTACCATAACATAATATGATAATCATATAAAAAAATACGATATTCATATTTTAATTTGTAAAAAATACAAAAAATAATAAAAAATAATTTAACTTACACAAAAAAAATTGTAAAACTTTTTGACAAATTCTAATATTTTTTTAAGAATGATAAAATAATAAAAATTTAAAAATAATTTTTTTTGAAATATAAAATTTTTTAAAAATAAATAAAAAAATAGATAAAACACATATAAAAATATAAAAAGAAAATACGAAGGCCTTTCCCACAGTCTTGTCCATTGCTCAATAATGTTACCCTTGATCGGCTAAAATGTCATTTTGTGTAGAAACTATCATTTTTTATAAGATGACATTTCTTACACATGTTAGCATTTTTTTTACGATTATCAAAGTTGGTGGTGCTGGGAGGTTCCTAAGGCGGCGACATAGGCCAGCATTTTTTTATATTTTCTAATTTTTTTATTTACTTTATTTTAATTTTTTAAGTTTTTTATTTTCTAATTTTTTATTTATTGATTTTTTAATTTTAATTTTTTAATTTTTTTAATATTTATTTTCGCTTTTTTACATTTGTATTATAAATAAAGCTATTTATTACTTTTATATTTTAATTTTTAATGAAATATGGATTGTATTAAAACAAAGCAAGGGTAGAATTGAAAAGCTCTAATCCTATTTAGAGAATTTTTAAGCTATGTTCCTGTTTTGGCAATTAAAATTATATGTAGTCAGAAATTATTTGGTAGAATTAAAGTTATTTGGAAAATTCTCCTAGGTTTTAAAATATGTTTTTCAGAACTTATCTACATCAGAAAACTAAAACAATGTTGAATATGTTTTAAGAAAATTTCCCTAAATAGGAGTGAAAACATTTGTGTATTTCAAAATAAAACTGTCATGTTTTTTATTTCATAAATATGAGTATTATCGTCATGTTTTGGCAATACCATATTCTAAACATGACAACAATAACTACTCCTATTTGAAGAATAAAAACATGACAGATCTATTTGGAGTTTTCAAACAAATAAAAAATGAGTTATCCAACATCTTGCTTCAACCCAGTACCCACTAATGCTATCTATAAAAAAAGATAGATAGGCCAATCAAGATTCTCAGACCCTAACTCAGCTCACGAATACCCTGGAAAAGTAAGCGACAAAAATTATTACATGTTGAACGTACAAACGACCTCCAAGTTTGATAGAAAAATCCGTGAAATATTACACAACAGGAGTTGGTTATACAAAAAAGTCAGAAGTACGTAGTGTTAGTTAACTCGTATCTACTAAACATGTGAACGTTTTGGCCTGCAACTCATCGCACAACACGTGAATCAACCTGGAAGCAGTCAAGCCTTAACGCCAAGGCCCTTATCCCGTTTTATTTTAAAAAATAATAATACACGGGTGTTTGTTTCATAAGCAGTCAATCAATATATAACTTACAAAAGAATAGCACTGAGCAGTTGTAAATTTGAATATTTGATGGACCCGTACATGTATGTTATCTCTATCAAAAAAAGGATGAGCTCCATCCTTGAGGGTACCAGCTAACTTTAAGGGGTTAACTCAGATGTTAATATGGTTGACATAGTGTTCGCTTTGTACTATGAGCAATCTGATGTTGAGCATGATGGACAGTGGATGTTTTGCCTGCACTTGAACCCAAAAAAAATGTCTTTGTAGCACGCACAGCACATCCTTTCAACCACGAGTCACGCCTGCTGGCTGCGTGTTGTTATTGAGCTTTATATGAAGTATACATAGTATAAATAACAACCTCTCCCACTGTACAGCTTTTTTGGCCAGTTGATGATCAACCAAATTGGGTCGAGTAAAAATAAATACATAATATTTGGCAAAGGTGAGTAGGTGACAGAGATCATTGCCTCAATGCCTTGTAAAAGAATTTCTCCATAAAAGTGGTAATGTGGAAAATTAAGTTGAGACAATTTTCACCGGATCTGGGTTCTGCCCAGGCAAGATGAGCCAATTTCACCCTCTGTGTTCTGCACCAAAATATTTTTATCGATGTTACAACTGAACATGAGTTCCTTGAAAAAGGGCAATATAACATAGCATGAATCTATGGAAGGAATACATGTAAAGCTAAATTATTGAGTCCACCATGCAAATTTAACTACCTGAGATCTAGGAGAAGGGAACACATTCCAGAAGCGAAGTGTTTCATCTCCTGCTCCAGTCACAATTGTCTGCACATTCATACACATATTCTAAGATAAAGGCATATTTCTTTCAAGGCTTCTAGCATCTGTTTACAACGCAGAAAATAATAGGTACAGAAAATAGGGAAATCGCGATGAAAAATATATTATAGAGTATAACGGGAAGGGAAGTAATTGTTGGGAAAATTTACATAAGCTATAAAACTCGAAAGAATTCTTTTGAAGATTTGTTTAAACCCATTTTATTTAATGATAATTGATTATTTAAAGACTAATAAATTCCCATATATCTGAATGTTAAAAATGACCATGTTTCGTTCTTTCCTATAGTGTTAGTGCATGTCTTTGTGTGTGTCAGAGACAGAGAGGGAGAGACTGAGAAAAACAGAATGGAGATCATAAATATATCAAGGAGAGAGAATTATTATATTACTTGGCCATCGGGTGATATGGCAAGGTAAAGGACCCTATACGTGTGCCCTGTCAGAGTTGCTATCTGCATTTACAAGAGGAAAGATTTAAATAATGGTAGAAAAAATGAATGCCTTTATGAAGGTTGTGATTTTTGTAAATCACATTGGATAATTAAGGGAAAAACAAAACCTTTGACATGGTAGGATATCTCCAAACAATAATTTGGTTCTGGGAGTACCCATGTGTGCTGACCAGCTCATTCACATTCTTAGACCATGCGAGATTGCATACCTGCCCAGATACGAAAATAACATGCAACTGAATATCCAACCAACTCAACCACATGACTGTAGCATCATCTAATTTACAATGATTATGTTGTTATCTTGGGCATGCCATTACTATAATCTTGAATGATTATCTCTACCTATGGTCCACATCTCCTTTTGAATCATTGCTTTCATGTTCATATTTATAACAATGCACATATTACCACCTCAGTCCAAAAAAAAGTCGCCATGCTCACGAAAGGTACAACTTTTAAGTTTTAACAAGGTACAGTGTCATCAATTCTAGATATAAATTTAAATTTAATTATTTGCTTAACTAAGCGTAACATGCTTGCCGGGTTTGGGAACTTCTAGAAAAAATGCATTAAATATAAAGGGAGATAACATCCTTGTTGAAAAAGGACTATTTTATTGTGGCAAAATAATTGAGTTTAAACATAAGTTTCTCTTTCTTATGGATGGAGTATTATTATTATATTATAATACAACCTCCCTCTTACCCCCACACCCCACAAAAGTTATTATTGGGCAAGGTAACAGTTTACAATGTAGGTGAGGTTCATATATTCAAAGTGAAAGAATCATGTTTATATTTTTAAAAATTTATTTGATGGTTAAACTAAATCTACCATACTTAATTTATTAGGAAAACTGTCAATTTAGTCCCCGTACTAATGAAAAAGTCAACTAGGTCCTCGTACTTTAAAAAAGTCAACTAAATCCCTGAACTTTGTAAAAATGTTCAATTAAGTCCATTTGCAGGTTACTTGCCAGTTGCCACGCCAGCAGGTCACCCGGTGACGTGGAACACATGTGGCAGCCCAATCAGCAATGACTTTGATGACGTGACACACGTGAGAAGTCCAGTCATTTGCTCGTGACGTGACAAGTAACCTGCAAATGGACTCAATTGAACGTTTTTATAAAGTTCAAGGATTTGATTGATATTTTTAAAGTACGAGGACCTAATTGACTTTTTTGTGATAGTACGAGGACCAAATTGACAGTTTTCCCTAATTTATTTGCAACTTTTTAGTGCCAGTTATGTGAAAAATTAGCTTCGCTTGATCAAATGGGTCACTTTATATCATCATCATCATTACCCCAGTGCCTCAAAGGCTCCCACCTACGGTGTGGTAAGGGGGTCAGATGTACGGAATATTACCCCTGTACTAAAACACAAAGAGACTGTTTCCGGATGACCCATAGTGAAAATTGCATTGAAAATTGCATGGACGGAATGTTGCTTCATAACAAAGAAGCGCACACAGTTTAGTGAGTCATTTTGTTTATTTCATCATATTCCCAAGCCAAAAAGTGAGTCTTTGACTCCATTGCAAATGATGGAAAGGGGGTCACTTTATATTATACTAAAAAGAAAAAAATTGACATGTTAATCATTCTTGGGGAGAGCGGGGAGTAAAAAGTCATTTGCTGATCACTCATTACAATATACGTTTTTAAATAATATAAGTTTATCCATGCATTTGGTCCAAGAGTTTATAGCCAGTCGTGATTTAGTGTTCAAGAAAAAACTTTTCATTTTACTCATGCATTCGGTGCAAGAGTTTATAGCTAGTTAGTAGTTACCATTTAGTGTTCAAGAAAAAACTTTTCATTTTACTCATGCATTCAGTCCAAGAGTTTATAGCTAGTTACCATTTAGTGTTCAAGAAAAAACTTTTCATCTGTCCTTTTCAATGAGGTAAAGTTCCATACTTCCATATTTCCTACGTCATGCAGGTATAATTTTGGTATGAATTGTGTTGTCCGACAACCCTCTAATTTAAGGAAACCCCCCTAGGTTTTCAAAAACAAAAAAAAAAATACTATGAAGTATCAACAACATCCGGGCCTTAGTCCAAAAAATACTATGAAGTATGATGCCACAAATTTCATAGTTATTTTTTTTATACATTGGAAAGGAACAAATTTCATAGTTAATGTTTACAGTAGAAATATCAGAACGGAAAAATGAGATAGCAGAATATGAAGGAATAATCCACCAACTTGAGGGTTATATCCTTTAAATGGAAATATTGATATGACAGCAAGAAAACAAGAACTATATGCATAAGAAATCTGTGGAAAATATACTTCTCAGAAATTTGATAAACTTAAATGAAGATAATAAAAGCTTATCACCTGGCTACCAGTGTCCATGCAATTTAAGTGAGTATTCGTGGAAGTATTCCAAAATCGAATGCATCGGTCAGCAGTTCCACCACCAGAAGCAAGAAGACCATGAAGATGGGGTGACCATGCAATTGCCTTCACAGCAGCAGTGTGCTCACAATATTTCAGTACAGGTTGTGTTGAGTGGTTGTTCCATACAAGAAGCTATAGATGCAAAACATTTAATAAAGATCATTTTCATTAATGTAGTAATCAATTATTAGAAAATGGTTTTTATTTCTCATAAAAAACATACTCTGTTATCATTTCCACCTGATGCCAATTCCCGGTTGTCATGTGACCACTTCAATCCACAGACCTAAATCCAAAAACAGTTTAGCATTCAATGATTGAGAAGTATATCATTAAACTAGGCAGTAGGCACATCTCTCACCAAAAGGTTCCAAAAGAAATGGGCTTTACCTAAAAGATATGTACTAGACTCAAACTTAGTAAGAAGCAGGTTTAAGATACTCAACAATCTACACACCCACCTCAGCCTAAAGTCCTAAGCAAGACCAGAAAATAGAAGTAATAGACATATAGATATATAGGTCTAAATTGACCCGAACACATTGCTCCAAAACATCAAGTTGACAAACACCCGCAAACCACAATCAGACCTAGCTCTAATATCATATTAAATGGGTTGATACTAGCGTTATCAATAGTGTGCTATATCTGCAATTCTGCACTGCAGTACTTTTGGTTTAAAAAGTTTTTCTTTAGGTGGAGATTCCAGACTTCCACAGTTAAAAAGCACCCCTTTTCTGTTTTAATGCCAAGTCTAAAATCTTCTCAAGCAATAAGCCTCCCAAAATTTTGACCCACCCACCTCTGCAGCCTCCCAAGGCATCAACAGCCCACCTCCCTCATTTGTGACTTCCGGCGACCTATCACAGGAAACCTGTGACCTCAGGTAACCAGAGCCATAGTATGGTTATCATATTCTAGATTTGATGTTTTTATAGCTTATAGCTATATATAACTATCATAGTTGTCATGGCACATGGCGATCGCCATGGCTTACAGGCATTTTTCATGGAGCATGGCAATGGCGCATATACGAATGGCACATAAGGCGCATATGGCGCTATGGCGACGACCACTTTTTCATGGCGATGGCGCATATGGCGCTATGGCGACGACCACTTTTTCATGGCGATGGCGCATATGGCGCTTGCCAAATCTAGCCATTGACTACTATGATAACTATAGATATATACTCTGTTTCTGTACAAAAAATTAAAGAATGGCAGTTAATCCAGCTATCCGCCATACTGCTATAGCAATCTTCTAGGTGGCCACTAAGCACCAATATCTGGGATTGACTGCACTGATTAATACCATGTTAAATTTGTACTCCCTCCGTCCCGCTAAGATTGTCTCAGTTCCTATTCACTTGGTCAACACAAATCACTCTTAATCTCTATATATCAAATTTAATTCTGGTTTTTGTGACATTGTAAAGCTTTTAATGTAATTTCGGAATATGTAATTTTTTTTTCTAAAAATAATTTGAGTGCAGACAGAGATCTGTTTGATTTATCATCAGTCTAGCATCGTAAACCGCAATGGGACCATAATAGTGGGACAGATGGAGTACTAGAGTACTAAACTCACTCTATAGGATGTTCAGGAGAAACATTTACCTAACTTCCTAATAGAGAACCAATGAGGAATCTCAACAAATATCACTAAAAACAGATTTTCACTATTGGTAATAAGAAAAATGCAAGCTCAATAGATCATGCATTTAGAATCTACCTCTGACTTGTGACCACTTAGCTTACTGATATAATCTTCCTGAGCACGTAAATCACGGTGAAGAATGCTCTTGTCACGGCTTCCTGAAGACAAAACAGACGAACTCCAAGCTAGAGCACCAACTCGTAATCGGTGTCCTTCCAGGGTTCTTATTCTCTTACACCGAGAAGCATCCCATATCTGTGCAAACAATGTGCTAATCAAGGGGGGGATGTGGCTTTTTCTTATAAATACTGAAGAAGAGTAGAACAAAATTGGTTACTGTTACAAAAATATCTTCCCTAATATGTAGATTGTAGATCATTATAAACTTTTCAACACAAAGATGATGGTATTATTAGCTTGCAGATGCCTCATTAAAAGGTTTTGTAGATATACATATATCATAATCAGCCTTACATAATCAGTGAATTAAAATAGAGGAGTTCTAAAATAGCCAAATCATTTCAAACTTTGACATAATATGACATCATGACTAGGATGTAATGCGTTAGTGAGGCTACTTCTTTAGGAAGTTCTGTTTGGTAGATGAAAGTCATGAAACTGAAAAGCTATGAAGTGATTACTGCATGAACATAAAGTTCAATGAATTTCTGACAGGTAAATGTAAGCGTGATGAGCTATAGAAAAACAAAAGCATTAAATGTGGATCAGGTAAATAGATAAGTCCAATGATAATGAGCAAATCTGGTGCATATAAATTATGGATTATAAGATTATGAAATGTTTGAGATCAAACCTGAAGTTGTCCGTTGTTAGTTCCAATGGCAAGATGTGTGCCACGTTGAGCCCATCCAACTGAGCTAACACTGTCATCAATTCCCAAGTCACACAGGTTTACTACCTGAATATGTTTATTGCATATTAATAAAATCGACAAGTAAGTAAATGAAATACAACAGTAAATAAAATCCAAGTGAGCTAACACTGTTTGTTGCAATATTGCAACAGAAAGGATACATGTGGAAAGGTAGAGCTTGCCTTGCTACTAGAAGCGTTCCATAGATATACAGAGCTCCCCAATCCAACAGCTAAAACATTATTTGAAGACCAATCCACAAGGTTTAGATAAAAATCATCTTGCAAAGCTGGCGCATCCAATACCTAATTAGATCAGGAAATGAGTTTCAAGCAAATAGCACTCCCTCTGTCCCAAAATACTTTCCTATTTTCTTTTTGGACCATCCAGAAAACTTATTCCGATTTACTTTTAGAGAAAGAATGGGGTTTACATAGAATTTTCATTAGAGCGGGAAGGATTGAAAACGATGAGTAAAAGGCCATGAAATAGAAAGCATCTGGAGGGAAGGTTTTACCTTGAAAGGAGATCTGGGCACCTTCCTGGGATCCTTGACAGGACTATGATTAAAACCTGGTAAGTGATCATCAAAGACGAAAGGGAACAAAGAATTGGAGGATTTGCGAGTCTCGGTTTTGTATCGGAAAATATTGCGATTGGGAGGGGGGGTGAGCAGATGGCGTGAGGAAATATCGGGAGTCAAAGGAGGCAGTATGCCGCCTCGATCAGGAGCGAAGAGTGCGGCTCTCAAGAGTGCGGTGTAGGCATTGGTGGAATCTTCGGAGGAGGGAGAATGCGGAGGGAGAGAGACGTTGAGAAGGGCGAAATTGGAGGATGATCGGCTGGGAATGAAGCGATCGGTGTAGAGAGTCCGAGATGGTGAATGAATGGATGAATTCCGGGGAGAAACAGTAGGGATCCGAGATGGGGTCTTGGGATTGAGGTCGGATGAGGGTGGGGTGTGGTTCTCCATACTGAATCGAGCTTGCACAGATGGATGGCGTAAACCCTAAGACATATAAAGAGGGAGAAGGAAGGGGGGGGTGAGGAAAAAGGAATAGGAAGGGAGATTTTTGGAGGAAAAAAAGGAATCGGAAAGCAATTAGACCGATGCTGTTAACAACATATAACAGTAATAAATCTCCCGGGAAATTCAATTACCGATCAACAGTGTTGCGCCAAAATTAGCACCAGATCCATCCGTCCCCGTCCGTATACGCAGGGCAGGGCAGGTGTAAGCATCAATAATAATGTAGCCCATGTTCTATTTTTTAAATAAAAGATGTATGGAGGGAGCTTCTAGGTACTACGGCTTCGTACATTATTATTTTCATTTTTATTATTATATATATTTGATGGAGTATATGGCCCGGGAACACCCGGCCCACACACTCCTACTACGCCAATGAAGGCCCAACAGGCCCAGGAGGCCCACCAGACCCAAATCACGGCGCTCAGAGTACCAAGCAGCCCGCAATACGCACCAGGGGTGCCTTCGGTTCCCTGGCCGAAGGCTCCAAACTGTCACAGCGTGGATATTTCGAATAAACAGAAGAAACTGGGGGGAAAACGGCAGAAAACAGTAGCCCTCGGCACCTGGAGCCCTCGGCACTCAGGGGTCCTCGGCACTAAGAGCCCTCGGCTAGTCCTCTGCAGCCGAGGGCACCTCTCCCGACATGATATCCGCCTCACATGCGTAGAGATCACCGTACCCCGTACAGACGTCCCATCCAACAGCCGCATTAAATGCGGCCACATGCGGCTGCCAACGCCAACCAGTTGAGGTGACCTCTCGGCCAATGGGCGCTTGACACGTGTCCCTGTCCGGCATTTATTGCTACTATAAATAGCACCCCATTTCCCCATTTGTAACCACGACATTCATACTGAATACACTCTCTCTCTTACTTACTTGTGCTCTGACTTCTCTCTAAGTTATTCCCCGCAATAACCCTCGGATAATATACCCCCCGGGTAGACTATCCATCATTTGGTGCTCTCGTTGAGAGGTCGAACAAATCGAGTAAGAAACCCTCCCCTTTCGCCAAACACTAGCCCTCTACCAAAAATGGTGAGAACAACACGTGTCAACTCCAAAAACGTGGAAGACAAGAACCTGGCCCTCGGCGACGTCAACGCCCCCGAAGCCTCTCACAGGGCTCCCGAGGGCGGTGTCATCGCTAGGCTGGAACAGGCGGTTGTCGACCTACGCCTTCAGATCCAACAGAATGCCCCTGATGCCCGCCTCGGCATCGAGGCCAAGAAGAAAAACTGGAGCGATGACCAAGTCAGTCCTCCGGTCCTCACCATCGACGTGCAATCGGCACTCTCCGCCTTCATCCAAACGCTCACTCAGAACCCGGGTGCCTTCGGCACCCTGGCTCCGGCTCAACCCCAGGTTGGGGAGAACATCATACTTCCCCCTCTGCCACGCCCCTTCGGAAACCCCACCCCTCGGGTTAGGAACGACGAAGGGGTAGTGGCCCAAGATACGTCCTCCCAGGAAGTTCAGTCGCGGGACCGCCACAATGACAACGGAGAAAGGCCCCGCACTTCCGCCCTCAACCGGCTCGGAGGAGGGCCAGACCGCCGAGGGGTCCAAGACCGCCTCGGAGGGAAAGCACTCCAAAGGCCCCAGGAAAGCGGAGGGTCTGTCTCGAGGGCAGACGAGGAGCGTCCCCCTCGGGACAAAGGCAAGGCACCCCTTCATGCCAATGATGCTCGCCACCAGATCAACCAGGCCCACTCGGCCCGGGTTCGTTCGCAGGGGGCGGAGACCCTCCCGAAGGATCCCCGGGACGAGATTATTGCGGCCCTCCAACGCCGTCTTGACGAAATGGAGGCCAACAAAGCTCACGCCACCACCTCCACCCCTCATTCAGATCTCAAATACGAGGCCATGATGGCTAAAATGGAGGAATTACAGAAGAAGGTGGCCGAGGGCTCGGGGGAACCCGTCATCCAGATCCGGACCCGGACGCCATTTACCCCAAGGGTATTGGCGGCCCGGATCCCGGAAAAATACCGAGGGCAACACATACAGCCCTACAACGGGAAGACGGACCCCCAGGAACACTACAGCAAATATCAAAACTGCATGATGATGGTAGGGGCGTCGGACGAATATTTGTGTCGTTGGTTCCTCTCCACCTTAGAGGGGCCGGCATACGAATGGTTCAACCGGTTGCCCGAGGGCTGCATTGATTCGTGGCAAGAACTCGCCCAGCGATTCTTGACACAATTTGCCGGGAGGCGTCGCACAAGGAAGCACTTCTCCCACCTCCTAACCATACGCCAGAAGAGGGATGAGACCCTTCGGGACTTCCTGGAGCGCTGGAGGACGGAGGCCGACAAAGTCGACGGTGCTGATGACGGGGCCCTCCTGGCCCTCCTACAAACCGTCCTCCGCACCGGCAACTTTTCAAGGAGCCTCATCATTGAACCCCCCCGCGACTACATAAGGGCTTTGCAGCGGGGGGGGCCGATATGCTGAGGCCGAGGAGGTGGAGAAATATCACCAGCATCCGGATCAGCAGCCCCCGAGGGCTGACAACAAAAACAATCGAGGGCCGGGGGCTCCTCCAAATCACCCTAAATCTTCAGGACCCTCTTATGACCGCCCTCGGCAAGGCCAAGCCAAGCCCGGGGGAGGTTATAAGAGCAACCCTAAGACTTGGGCACAGCCCATACTCCTGGACCACCCTCGGACACCATTGACACACCCCGTCAGCATCATCCTTGATTTTGCCGAGGAGAGGGGCCTCGTTGAGCGCGATTCTCGCGCGCCCCCGGAGGTACATGCTATCAACCCTCAGTTCCCCTACTGTCGTTTCCATCGGCACCAGGGGCACAGAACTGATGACTGCCATCAACTAAAGACGGCCATCGAGAGATTGATACAGGCGGGGCACCTGTCCCAATTTATCCAGAGCCCTCGGCAGGAGGGGCCTTCTCATCAGGGACCTCCCCGAGGGCACCACACGAAGGTAAACGCTTGGGTGAACCCGAACACCATCCCCCTCGGCAAGAAGAGGGAGATCGGAAACTTGGAGGAGGAAGAGGAGGAGTACCCCCATTACCAGGAGAAAAAACGCCACATCCTCATGATCATCGGCGGCAATACAGGGGGTGATTCCACCAGTCAGCGGAAAAAGTGGGCTCAATCTCTTTACGTGGGGGAGGTCACCCATATGCCCCCGGTAAAGCGGCTGAGGGAGGAACCCATCACCTTCACCAACGCAGATCTCCCTCCTACTTCTTCTCCTCACAGGGATGCCTTGGTGATTCGGACTGAAATAAACGACACCATCATTCACCGAACTTACATTGACACGGGCAGCTCCGTCAATGTAATGTACCTCAGCACCTTCAGAGAGCTGCATCTGGAGAGGGGGTCCCTTCGGCCCATTAAGACCCCTCTTGTCGGCTTCACCGGCGACACTATTGATTCCGAGGGGGTAATAACCCTCCCGGTGATCTTCGGCGACGGGCTCCATAGAGCCCAGCTCGAAGTGGAGATCGTCGTCGTGAACATCGACTGCGCCCACAACATCATCCTCGGCTGGCCAGCCCTCGAGGACCTCGAGGCCATCATCTCCATGAGGCACCTCTGCCTCAAGTTTCCCGCCGAGGGGGGCATTGGCTACTCCCGGGGGAATCAGAAAATCGCCCGCGCCTGCTATCTTCAAGTCACTAAGAAGGTAAGTAAGACGGAATTCCGTGTTGACACCATCACCGGAACCATCGACCAAGAAGAAAAAACGCCGAGGGCTGAACCAGCCGAGGACGTAGAAGACTTTGCGCTCGATCCGGCCCAACCGGAGAGAGTCGTGAAGATTGGAGCCCAGCTCCCTGAAGTCCTGAAGACCGGTATCACCGACGCCCTCCGCGCCTACTCCACTGTCTTTGCATGGGGGCCGGAGGACATGCCAGGAATTAGCCGAAGGGTCATCACCCACCGCCTCTCGGTGGACCCCTTGGCAAAAGAAGTACAGCAACGAAGAAGACCCCTCTCCGCCGAGAGGAGGGAATTTGTGAGAAAGGAGGTCGTCATGCTCCTCTTTATTAAGCACATCAAGGAGGTGAAATACCCCTCATGGCTGGCAAACGTGGTCCTCGCACAGAAGCCCCCTACCTTCCGCATGTGCGTGGACTACACGGATCTCAACAAGGCATACCCTATGGACCCTTTCCCTCTACCAAATATTGATCAACTGGTGGATGAGACCGCAGGGTGTGAGATCATGTCCTTCCTCGATGCCTTCCGAGGGTATCACCAAATTTTCATGCACGAGGAAGACGCCGAAAAAACTGCCTTCATGACTCCCGAGGGCATCTTCTGCTGCCTGGTAATGGCCTTCGGCCTAAAGAACTCGGGGGCCACCTACACCCGGATGGTGGCCCGGGTCTTTCAAGCCGTCCTAGGGCGCACCATGGAGGCCTATGTTGACGACATGATCGTCAAGAGCAAACAATCTTCCAGCCATGCCGACGACCTCCGGGAAATCTTCGCCATCATGCAAAAATTCAACCTTCGGCTAAACCCGAAGAAGTGCACCTTCGGCGTCCAAGGGGGCAAATTCTTGGGCTACATGGTGAGCCGAAGGGGTATTGAGGCCAATCCCGAGAAGATCCAGGCCATCATCGACATGGAACCCCCACGCAATGTGAAGGAAGTTCAACGGTTGACGGGCCGCATGGCAGCCCTCAACCGCTTTCTATCTAAATCAACGGAGAAGTCTTTACCCTTCTTCCAAATCATGAGGAAGACGGCTGGTTTTCAATGGACTTCAGAATGCCAGGAGGCTTTCGACGAGCTCAAACGATATCTATCTTCACCTCCTGTGCTCTCCAACCCAAGGTAGGGGAGACCCTCTACCTCTACCTTGGGGTCAGCCCGGCGGCCATCAGCTCCGTACTCATCCGGGAGGAAGACGGCATCCAACATGCCATCTTCTATGTAAGCAAGACCCTAAGGGAGGCCGAACTCAGGTACTCTCCTGTGGAGAA